CTGCTCTAAAGGTAAAACTAAATCAATTGCTAAATACTCCTGACACATTGAAGTGTAAAGTCTACAGCCCACCACACATGTGGAAAGTTATTGCATGTCATATTTAACAAATAGTTTACTACAAATTTTAAATGATTTTGCTCACATGATATTCAGTTTTGCTCATAAATAAATATTAATCAGATGATTATTACAGTTATTACACTGCTGTGCCGTCAGCCAATCGTTGCATTGAAGATCATGATTGAGGATCAATAGATATGTCTTTCACAACACAAGCAGCGATCTCAGATAAGTTCATCCTGACATTTTCATCTGATTTGCAAACTTGTTTGAAGAACCAAATTAGCCAGAGATCAGTTATTAAGATTAAAAGATCCAGGATCTGCCAAATCATCTTAGATCATTTAAGCGAGATACGAAGAACAGACCCCAGGTGTAAATGGGGTCTGAAATGTTATACTTATCTATACCCAACCACATCAAAAACATTGAGGTAGTCGAAAACAAAGTGACAAAACTCCCATTAAAAAGATAGAACCATGCAAAGCTTGCAGTGTCATTTCTGCTTAAATGGATCAATGATTTTTTGACATCAGGGGTCTGTTCTTCGTACTTCGCTTAAATGATCTAAGATGTTTTGGCAGATCCTGGATCTGTTCATCTTGATAACTGATCTCTGGCTATATTGTTTTTTTAAACAAGTTCGCGAATCAGATTAAAATGTCTGGATAAACTGATGGATAAAGAGATCGATGCGCGTGTTGTGAAGGACTGATCTATCGATCTTTGAAATCATGATCAGCAATGCAACAATTGGCTGACGGCACAGCAGCGTGATGACATCATCTGATTAATATTCAATCATCCATGTGAGCAAAATTACATCAAATTAGCAGTAAACGGTTTGTTAAATATGACACGCAATAACTTTCCACGATTGTTGTGAGCTGCAGGCTTTAGACTTTTATGTGTCAAGAGTATTCATTATGTATTTCAATGCATATCAATGTATTTAGTTCTACATTTAGAGGAGATTTTATTTATTATAGTAGCCTTGGCCTACTCAAGTTAATTGGTGTAAGGAATAACTGTATAAATTAATTTTGCATCAAAAAAGCATTTTGATAACTGTAAAGTTGTCAATCACCAGCATATTAGTGATCAAAACACGTGCTTGACCGCATAAATTATTATCCTTTTTTTTTTATTTTATTTTTTATAAAAGTTGAATGATGTGCATGTATGCGTTTGCATCTAAAAAGTTAATATCAATAAATGTTCTCTTTGAACCACCAGGTGGCAGTCTTTTACTTTTATTTCGAAGTGCAGATTGCAAAAATGTTATTAATATATAGATTTTTAACTTTATATATAGTTTAAAATATATATATTTACTATTTTCCCAAGTGTATATAACTACTGTAAGAAAATATCAGCATTTGGTAGATACTTTCAATATTATCTTTGCTTAAACTGACCCAATCTAATCATGTTTATATGAATGAGCCTGCTCCTACGCAGGTTTGAGCTACCAACTGTTACTATGACAACAATTCTCAGATGAGTTTTGAAGAACGAAACGATCCTGGATCGCGTCAAATCGTCAACATCCAAATCCTGCTAATTGAGTAATCCACATATGAAGAACGGACCCCAGCTCACTGTTTCATCAAATCTTATGACCAATCAAATGCTTTCTAGTACACATCTGACATCTTATGCCCCCTTATTATTGGAATCTCCCCCTTGAGGCACTATTGCTCTCACTGGCAGAGCTGTGAAAAAACAAAATGCTTTTTGAGTGTTTTTTTTTTTTTTTTTTTTAAAGAAGGGCACTACACGGTGCCACCCTGTTTTTATGTTTTAGTTCAAATTATGTCCCACGTCAAACACAAATGCATGTTTCAAAGCACTTCACGGGAACTTTAAAGGGAACCTGTTATACAAAAATCACTTTAATGAAAGGTTTATGAACATAACCAGCTTCTAATAAAAAAATATATTCATTTTGTTTTTTATGATCACACTTCATAAAAATAGATTTTAATTGACCTTCTCCCTTTGTACATGTCATCAGAGGGGAAAAGCCCTGCCTCATTTGAATTTAAAGCGACAGTCACCAAAGCAGCACAATTACAATCAAAGCCTAAAAGAGACAGTTTTAAGGAGTTATAAAACATTATCTGTGGGGTATTTAGAGCAGAAACTTCACATACACACTAAAGAGACATCAGAGTCTTAGTTTACATCTTTTAAAAAGGGGCATAATAGGTCCCCTTTAATACCAGATGTAAACTAGGCCAATACAAGTGTATAGCCTATTAAAAAGGAGGTTTTATATGACTTAACCAACCTGTAGCTCCTTCTGGCACAAGTCTATCAAGCCCTGAATCTGGTAATACTTGGCCTCTGCTAGGAGCTCCATGATGCTCTGTCTGCTTTTTGGCAAATTCACAAATCCATCACGGAGATAGCTGAGAATGGAGCCAAAGTGTTTCCCACAGCGATCTATTAGGATCCAACCTAAAAAAAAAAAAAAAAACACATTGAGCCAAGGCTGAAGAGGTTGCATCTTCTCTCAGGGCTGTTTAAATAACTCACCTTCCTTATCTGTGAGCACCTCCATCTTGCCGCTGAACATGGATCTCAGCAGGGTGTCCTGTCTAGTGAGCACCTGCAGTGTGGAGTAGTACAGATTTCCACCAACATTGAGCTGAACGTACTTATTTCCGGTCACACCACGGTAGGTGCAGGTGTTAGTCTTGGGGCAGCCCACTGAAGAGACTGGCAGGATGGGCCCGGTGTGTGGCTGAAGCTGGTGCAGGCAGCTCTCTCCTGACATGTCCCTCTGTAGGTAGATAACCACCCTGCACACGATGGGTCTGATTTCCCCTGCCGTGGTGAATGCTGCTGGCCAGGCTGATCGTGATGCCAAACCTACATGCTACACATTAACTAAAGCAATACAGAAACAACTTTTGAACACTTATTACATATGTGGGTGCATTTTTTGACCCTGCTTGAATATGAAAAAAAAAACAATTGTGATTACTTTGGTTAATTTTGAAATTGTGAATATTTAAAACAAGTGGACCATATGACCCAAAAATGTTTTTAAAAAGGTGACAGTATATGATGCTATAATTGTTTTACTTCTACAATTTTTTTTTCAGAATTGTTAGAAGTCAAAATCAAAATTTCATTTAAATGAAATAAAAATATACATCTTTACAGAAAAATAAATCAACATACATATATAAATACAGTTATTACTAAAGAAACTACACTTTTTCAAGAACTTTAAAGACCCCAAAGAAAAACAATTTATTTTTTAAAATAAGAATTAAGAGATATTGAAAGATGGTCACTTTACAGACACTTTACACTATTCTTGAACTGTTTGAGCAATTGCGAGTCATAAATTCAAAATAATTTAATTTAAATGAGGTTAATCATCAAAATTTGCAGATTAAGCAATCTTAATTTCATACAATTACATATTCAGAATAGTTCAAGTGCAATTTGAAAATATATTTTATATCAATAAAAAAGGGATAAAGAAGAAGTAACATCAGGGTTGAAAAGTTGAAACATAATGAATTCCAACTGTTTATGATAACAATTCTTTGTCCAAAACAGACCTGAAATTTAAACATTTCTCCTCACACAAGTCAGTGAAAAACATGGAGGCTACTTAAAATAAATGTATACTTATTTACAACTGGCCATGATAACAAATTTAAAATTGCCAAATATTCAGTTCACATTGTGTATATCTTTATTGACAATATATTAAATTCTTTTAGTTTAAAGAAAATCTTGATCTTGTGTGTTTTACAGATTGGCAACGCTTTTGAGCAAACGTTTCTGCTAATGTTTCTATTGTGCTAATTTCACGACTAAAAGGCGCAATAACAAAACACCTCAGAGCTTTAGTTAGGGTTAATGCTAGCTTTAAAATACTTCAGCTTATTTAATTCAAAACAACAACGTTTAGACCAGGTTATTACCATGAAAAAACTTTTCGACGCGTAAAACTCACCCGCTCTGCCGCAGTATAACTCGTCGGCGAGTAACTGAAGTCGACAGTTGTTCAACTCCGCTGTTTAACTTCAACCATATTTGAAAAAGAAACGCATAAACAGGTCTATCAGACCATTTAAAAACAGGGAAAATACCTTTCACATCTACCTTCAGGGCGATGGCTAACAAATGTGATGGGTGGCTCTTCTTCGTTGAAAGATCAACAGCAACAGGTTAAACCGTGTTAATGATCTACTGCCACCCATTGGCTAGTGCAGGGACAGTCAACAAAAGATAAAGCCCTGAGATAAAAAAAAATGTACATTTATGCTAGGTTTTATATTTATTTAGACAAATGCTTTAATCTAAAGCGACTTACAAATGTAAACAATATGAATACACAAAGCAAACAAAATGGTAATAAGTATATATAGTATAGATATCATATATACAGTAAATGGAATATATAAGAGACGATTTATATTATGTATAGCATACATAGAAAAAGATTACTAAGTAATACTCTAAAAAAAGTAATATTTAGATTTAAAAACTTCTTCATTTGATAGCTAATTAATATTAATATAGCTATATTTATGTTTACCCATGGTTTTAACTTAACACCACAAGTTGTAACAATTTCATAAGTAGACTTTTATTTTGAATTGTATACCCAAAATGACATTGTATGTTCTCGAATTATTGCAACATACAATGTGAATCTCCATTTTTGTACTATTATTCTACCTCTACATCTTAGCCTTTATAAAACACATATAATAATAAATAAAAACAAACACTGTTAAAATAACATTCCTAATAAAAAAATATTGGGACTTTTAGCTGCTTTTGACGCAGCCCGTGACGACATTAAAATACCCGCCTTTTCGGAGTAGTCGACAGACTCGATTGGCTCTCTGCACCTGCCAATCACAACAGACGTAACCAATCAAAATCGTTTGTCCTTTCCACTCGCGCTCCGGGTACGAACTGCATCATATTCAAGATGTCGGCGGTGTCTGTGTATCCCATGTGTGTCCGGGCGAGCCGGGGCCTGCTCAGACTGAGGCAGGGGGCCCGCTGCTCCACGGCCCCTCCGCTGCTGGATGTCGTCCGGCCTTTATCCGCTGACACGTCCAGTAGCAGCGCAACAGGGGGACTGGCACAGGCGATACTGCAGGAAAGGCTTCAGCAGCAGCAGAAGAGCCAGGTGAGAGCTTCATTTGACCGCCTGACATTCCTGCATGACAGGAAAAATTCAGAAAGCCGGTCATTCCGTTATGGAAACTGACCTGCGTTTTTACATTCTGACATGTAACTACTGTAATATGGCGATGAATGAACGACAAGAAGTGGCTGGATTCTTCAGTAGTTAGGAAAGGTTGACAGGTGCTGGTTTGGTTTGAATGAAGTCAGGCAACATTGTGTTATGTGTGTGACATATGAGCTATGACTTTGGTTATATATTCAGCAAGCAAATGTGTATCATTTTAAATATTATAATAATATATTAAATGTATATAATTAGCACAATAAATTGGCCAAAAGATTAAAACAGAGTTGGATTACAAATACTCTCAATTTCATAAATAGACTTTTATTTTAAAATATATGCCCAAATTACATTCATGCTATAACTTATATGTTATGTCAAATATATAATGTGAATCTCTGTCCTTGTACTATTATACTACCTCTACATCCCAGCCTTTATAAAACACCTATAATAATCAATAAAAACAAACACTGGTTTAATAACATTCCCAATAGACTGAATCTATACTTAAATCAAACCGTTATGATAAAATTGCATATTTAGTTTCATATTTGAATCTTATTTGATATGTCATGCTTTTCTAGCCTGTCTTGATATGCTATAAGGTAAATGTGAAAACTGCATTTTATTCATAAGTATATCCACCCACCCATCCATCCATCTATAGTCTATCTATTCATATCAGTTATTTTGTTATGGCAACGAATAGTAAAATGCAGTTCTTACAGTCTGTAATGAAATAAAGGAGACTTTGATTACATTTTACATTAAAGTAGATTACTGACGATGACCAGTTCATCAAGATTTGATGAACCGCTGTAGTGTTGTTATTAAATGTTCGGTCAGCTTGGTTGCATGTCATAATACTTAATAATGTTTAAAATCAAAAGCTGTAAATGTTAATAATGCATATAACTTCACTGAGATAAATAAATGTTTTAAATGTGTTTTTCATGCTAATTATTGTAGCTTTATTTATCCGAAACATAAAGTGTTACAGAGTTAGTGATTTATCATAACAGCATAGCAGACACTGAGGTAAAGTTGGCTTTATATTTACACATGGAGATTTTCTGCTTAATGTAATTTCAGAAGAGTATTGTTTGCTAATTCTAAATAGGGAAATCATATTAGCAGCCAATGACTATCAAAGTACAATAATTCTCAGAGTCAAATAAATAGTGCTAATGTTGTTATGAAGTCTTACTTGCATGTTATTTCAAACTGAATATTCAAAGTACCGTGGTAAACAAAATAGGGAGCTTGTCACAAGTTGTCATTGAACGAATGTGCGAGTATAAAACCAACTTTACCCCAATATAGCAGACTGCTTGCATGAAATTGTCAGATGTCATTGTGCCAATAATGTCTTTAAAAGATTATATTTCAAGGGTTAAAATATATAAACTATCAAGGGATAAAAAGCACTCTATAAGCAAAGTTGCAAATGGCATTGTTTTTACATGTCATGTTGATCATGCTGATTATGTTGATCATTTAGAGCTCTTAGAAATTACATACCAAATTAGATTTTGTTCATTTTATATAGAGACCAAATGCTAAATGATTCTGTTAAATGTGTGGTTTAAAATGACATTAATGACTTTTTAACATTGGAGCTGTAACATGCAAGGTTACGAGTCCTCTTTTGACTGTTGAATAGAGATAAGGGCTGAAGGCTGAATGTTTTGTTTTCAGTGCCACGGAAGAACTGATGCTTGTTTCCTCAAAACCTCTCAGTGAAAAGAACAGTTCTTGTCTCAGCGTAAAGAAAATGTAAAAATTCTAAAGAATATTTTTCACTGTAAAGAACCTGAAGGTTCCAAAGTTCCGAGATTTTTTTTTGTCTGAGTTTTTGACAGAGTAAAGTAGAGCCGCTCGTATCGTTTCAGCATTGATATCGCAATGTGCGCATCTGCAATTGTCACATTGCAGGATCTGCAATGTCAAATCAAGGTTATAGTTGGCTAGGAGCCACAGTTGATTGTGTGTTTTTTTAAGCGCGTGATTGTGTAAACATTTAAAGCATTCACGCAATAGGAATGATAATGTTTTTAACTTTAAGAAAGCTTAATTGTATTTAAGTATATATACACACAACGAAAACTAAACTGTTATTTTACATTGGATTACTCAATTTGTTTACCTGAATCTGTTGTTATTCTTCATATATCTATCTTTGCTCTACAGTTTTATCAACACGTTTGGTTGGTTTATTATATTTAATGCAGATGCACTCTACAAAATCATCGTAATCAATTGTGTAAACTCTTTCTAAGTAAAGCTATTCTATTTATCTTGTGAAATCATATACAATATCGCAATATGTATAACATAAAAATAAAATATAATAATGTTAGTTTTTTTCCAATATCGTGCAGCCATAGAGTAAAGGCAATTGGTTTCACTGAATGAAAGCTTCGCAGATTGTTCAAAACAGTGCAGTTGATGCATGCATTACAGTAATTATTTAAACTGGCTATTGCATAAGCTTCCAGGTTCAAAAAGTGGCGTTCTTGTTGAATAACTGACCTGAAGCTGATGGTTTTACATTTTATGCTAATAATCTCAGGCGAGTTTATGATGGGATGCTTTTGACACCTTGTTCACAGGAACAGCCTCCTCCAGAGGGTGAAGACTCTGGCCACAAGCAAGATGAGCAGGGCGAGGACAAGAAACAGAAAGAGAACACTGCATACGCCAAGAAGATGGTCCTTCGGTTAGCAGGAATTATGGGACTTGGAGGCACAGTTGGCATTGTATATATATTTGGTGAGTCTGCCAGTTGCTTACTTGCTCTAAAGTTAAACACTGCATTGTTCTGGTGTTATCATTTAGAAGATTTTCTTTGAACACTGTTGGATTCTTTTTTTTTTTTTTTTGCATTGACATGCTTGCGTTATTCAAAACATTTTAACAGGATTGATTGGATTGTTGTTGGGATTATTGGATTATTGATGGGATTATTCTGGAGTATTGTAATGATTTAGAAAATATTGAAATCAACACATGATAAACGTGAAGTACAGGATATTTTTGACTATCTATTTAAATTGTTTGTTTTATTTTTAAAATCCTTTTTGCTTTGAAAGTTTTTTTTTTCATTTTTATATATTTACAATGCTTAGCATATATAAGTACACCCCTCATACATCTATCTTTTAAATTCATATTTTTAATAGGAAGCTGTACAATAATACATTTGTGCATATACATTAGATTAGTCAGTACTGAAGCCAAACCTGGAGCTTATCTTACAAAATAACTTATGATAACGGTCCAAAAAAACTAGTACAACCACATTTTTCTAGTACAACAATTTTATTTTATTTAAAATTTTGTTGAAATTTTTTAGGTTGCCTTTTATTTATTTTCGATTTTTTGCAATATTTTGCTTAAATTTATTTGTATTATCTTTCAATTTCTAAATGTGCTTGGTGACTAACAATATTATTTAAATAAATATATCTGTTTAATGAATTTGTTTTGTTTAAATGCACCAAAATACATTGCCTGGTTTCACTGAGAAATGGATACAAATATTCATTTTCAAAATTGTACTCTTATGCTAAACATTGTAGATGTTTTACTTTTTCATCATTTACCTTTTTTTTGCATGCAATACAATTATTAATTTACTTTAAATATTTCTGTGTTTTTAGCTAAAATAATACATTAATAAATGGATAATTATTGTTATTATTATTGTAATTTGTGCATAACATTATTATATTATATCACTGTGTATATGAGTTCCAATATTTTTTAATGGCTAACAATTAAAAATATCAAAATGAAAATTTCAGCTTTTCATATGTACAATCGTATAGAATTTTTTAAAATGCTTTTTTGCTTCAATTTTTAGTTTTGATCAGGTGATTAAAATTCTGAATGTTTCTGATCTTTAGGCAGCAATTCTGTGGATGAACAAGGAAATAAGGTAAGCATGAACTTTCACTAAACTGAGATTTAAAGGGATAGTACACACAAAAAAAATGAACAAATTAAAAATTTATTAAAGTAGTTTCAAACCTTAATGTGTTTCTTTATTTTGTTGAGCACAAAATAAATTATTTTAAAGAAGGCTTACAACCTGTACCAATGCTTTCCTTAGTGAGAAAAACAAATACTATGGTATTCAGTAGTTACCAATATTCATCTCTTCAAAATATCATCATTTTTGTGCTCAACAGAAGAAAGAAAATCAAACAGATTTGGAACAAGTAATGGGTGAGTGATAATGACAATATTGTCAGTATTGGGTGCACTATCCCTTTAAGAGTTATTTTTGGTCATTGTTAATAGGGAGTTTGAAAATCAAGAAGCAAGTGTTTTAATGTTTGTTTTCTTTTGACATCACTCGTACATCTTTAATTCATGAGCTTTACATTTGACACTTTAACAAAAAAAAAAGGTTGACCAGATTACTTGAATAGATTTACTTGGCAGTCTGGTATCTTAATGGTGATATCTAATAAATAACACAACACTTCAAAGCCATCCACCTTTTTTTCTTCATTTTTTTAATAATGGTAATTTTAACAAGCTCTTAGGCCACTTTATATTTGCATGGCACACTTTCTCACCTCCACTCGTCTCTTTCTATTGAAACTACAATGGCTTCTGGCTTGCAGACAGTTCAATCAGGCATCAGTGTGAAGATTTTCACTCTGTAGGGCACACTTCTCAAAGTGCTGTGAATTTCCTTTATTCAGTGATAGAGGTGTAGCACCTCTCGAGGTGGCCTGCTTCAAACACCTGCATTTACAAAGACTCGCAGGAAACCTGAGTGAAAGACAAGTGGGCTTGTCTTGTGTTGCTGTATTTTGTGCCTTTTATGCAAGAAAGCTGTGCTGCTGTAATAAGGAGTTGATTTTGACTCGAGCAGCATATTTTTATTTTGAGGCATTTATCAGATCGAAAGACATAGAGCTAATTTGGTAGATAAATTCATAGTGAAATATTATTATTATTATTTATCATTATTTTCATTATTACTATTATTATTACTACTACTATTTTTGTTATTATTATTATTATCATCATCATCATTACTATTATTATTATTATTACAGCTACATGACAGATGGCAATGTTGCTTTAAACTTCCATGACTTTCTTTTTTAGATTTCTGTTTATAAATTGTGGGCCTATACATTTTTACTTTAGTTTTCTCCCAAATTCTTTTTTTCTTTAGTTTTTAATTTTCCTGAACTGCATTTTAAAGTCCCAAATTGTACTTAATAAAAAAGCATGTCCAAACACACATTTAACATTTTCAGCTAATTTATAATTAACAGTTTACAATACATTAGTTTACGTGATGGGCAAAAATTAATCACGATTAATAAAAAAATTGTTAACATAATTTAAGTGTGTACTGTGTATTTATTATTTATGTATACACACAGGCATGCATAATTAATCAAATATTTATTTATGTTTAGATATAAAATATAGAATTATGCATTAGACTTTACATTATAGAGAGAAATAACAGATAAACCATGACTGCAGTTCGATCGATTTGCTAAACCTGATAAACCGCACTCTGTAATTTTTCAGCATGCTTTCACTTTTACATTTGAGTTCTTTCACACACTAGAGTTTGTTTCAATTGAGCCGAGACCACCTCATTTAGGCGATCTCGGACCAATTGTTTTGGCGTGGATCCGAACACACTTGCTGGATTTACTTATGCCAAACAAACCACACTAACTGGGGAAACATGGCAGGTTCTGAAATGTGAAACTGAAAAGTCTAGGAAAGCACCCTTAAATATCTGGGTAAAAAACAACAACTTTCCCCCCATTGAACGATATAATAATTTATTGTAAGAAACATTTAAAATATTTTGGACCAGTAGCTTTATATGTGGAGATTCATTTTCTGCTGGATGTACTGTTGCCCTAAACAAGAAATAAAATATTTGTGAAAAACATGTAAAAAAAAAAACAAAACAAAAAAAACAGACAAAATATATATACCTTTGGAACGTTAATACAAAAAACTTTGGCTGTTTTAAAACCTTGACTTTTTTTATGCCTAATGTGCACACGCGTGTCATAATAAACTTTTTCTTTGCCCAGCACTAATGAATTTTCCTTAATTTTTACGTTTAAAGCATGGAAGGGAAAAAATACAGTTATTGCATAAAAATGAAATTTTAATCATTGTTTTTACTTTGAGAAGTAAGGAAGTGCGATGGTTTTTGCGATTTGTTTTAGTACTTTCGATACTGCTGCCTATGGGAAAAATGACTAGGAATAATAAACGGCAGAAAACAGTCAAACTATGTGCTCTTCAAACAAGTGTATTTCATGACTATACATAAAAGGTAGAATAATATAATAAGAAAATATCAATTTGCAACATCAAGCTGCACAACGAGCCATTTTTAACATATAATATTCAAGGGAAGTGAATGAGACCGGAAGTCACCAGCCAAAAAGATTCTAATGGCTGCGCCTATTTGTACGTGAAGAATAAGGTCAATAGAGATGTCACAACTTCTTGAAGTAAAACTCAATCTTTATTTTGCTGGGCTACTTTAAAGAAGCTTTGAGTTTCCGGTTGGACACATATTTTTTTCTTAACTGCAAACTCAAAATGTGACTCTCAGGGTTAATTGAATAGCATATACGTTTTCAAAGTGATGCTGAAAATGCCACTAGAGTCATTTGAGCTGGAGTTTGTTTGTAGCAAATAAAACTGCTCCATTCATTCATACACACACACACTTTTGATTATTTAATCCAAAATCCATCCCATATTTTAAAGCTCATAATATCTTTATATCAACTTTCTGTTGACATTTTCACGAATCAAATGGCAAATTGGGAATTTGTCAGAACAACCTTTTTAAGGTGTTAAAAGCTCATAAATGAGCAATTATCCGTATTTGGTTTCTAAAAGATCAGTTTAGCATGACTACTTTAATGTCTCTGGAAGCCACCCACCGTTTCCCACTATCAAAGAGGCACACTTCACAAGTAGATGCCGAGTGGTCCCAGTCTGGAGGCATGTGCCAGTGGGATGAGGTGTGAAATCAGGAAGGTGTTCACTTTAAAGAGCACACCTCCACCTTTGATAGACATCCTGTTTTGTTACCTGCTTAAAAATTCGAGCTCACTTGTAAGGGCACACTTCACATGTCAGTGTGATCCCACAGGAGTTCAGAGAGGCGTTGATGTCCATTCACACACCTAGTACTCAATAAGATTCGCTGTTCTCAGCTTCTCTGATCTTATTGTGAGCTCAAGTCCTTCATCCTGTTCCCGTACTGTAAATATTTCTCAGTCTGAGGGACTGGGTTTATGACCTGTCTTGGACAAGACTTTTATCTTCCTATCTTGATTTCGAAAAGGAAGTGAATTAGTTTGTAAGCATTTTTAATATGTAGTACTGCAGATTTGGGGTTTTGAACTCTCTAGTGCTTACCAAGGCTGCTTTTTTATTTGAGCATATAGTAAGAATAGTGCAATACTGTTACAGTTTTGAATGACTGTTTTTATTTTAATTTGTTCTGAGATGCAATTTATTCTTGTGACAAGCAGTTATTAGTCAGTATTAGTGTCCCATGATTCTTCAGAAATCAGTCTATAGAGTAATATGGTGCACAAGACTTTTATTGTCACTGTTGAAAAGTGTCGTGCTGCTCATGTTTTTGTGGAAATTGTGATACTGCTTTATTTTAATATTAGGAATTGATTTGGAATAATCATAAATGAGTCATTAATTAATTTACTATCACTACTATCAAGTTAATACATCATGCTTAATATTTATTTTGTTATAATAAAAATACTATATTTTTAGTATTTATTTTGTTGAAAAAAATCTTACTGACCCAAACTTTTAGAAAGTTTTATATTAATTATAATATGCCAATTATTAAAACAATTATGTAAAATATCTAACCGTTTTTATTAGGTATTACTAATAGTAGTAGTTAATAAAACGGACAGTTGCAAAATACAGACTCAATATTGATAGCACAGTGTGTACTTTTCACAGCTAGAGGGCGCGTTTTCACATCAAAGACGTGACTGAGTGTTGAATTACAGTCTTCATTACATCAAACAGGACTCCTGTAGAAATCATTTACTTTAATCATGAGCTAAAGTATATTCAAAACGTATTATCATGGTAGTATGAAGCAGATTAAGTCTAAAAACCGTCAAAGTGTGACCACTGAAAGGCTAAATATTTCAAGTGAATTATTAACTTCTGCTGTCTTCATTTGTTTCAAAAACACTGATTTCCTTAAATTTAAAACAGCATCTTTAGAAATCTTTTCTGCTGGAGATACTACTACTTTTCCTTAAAAAAACAACAACAAAAAACATAAATAAATAAATAAATAAAAAAAACCTTACATATACCGTAGGAACGGTATAGCAGAAAAGTTTGACTGTTTTAAAACCTTGACTTTTCCAGACTACAGGTATACCTTGAAAACCATTATCGTTCTACGCCTAATCGTCATTAGCATGTGTCACTTAAAATCTCTAATTTCTTGGGATTTGAACATGTAATGCATGACCCAATTGAATTCAAATGCTTGTTTGATTTAGGCAAAATAGGAAGTGCACCTTCTTTGGTGAGCTAAAAGGAAATTAACTGATACTTGCATTATAAATTGGCATACATTCAGTTACAGTGACCTCACATACTATTGGGACAACATACAAGCTAAACCTAAAAATATTTTAATTCCTTTTTTGGGTACAAAATGTCAAAGTCTGTTGCAATTATTTTGAAGAAACTTATAGTCTAAGTCAATAGCTACAAAGTAAATAAGCTTGCAGGGTAGACACACTTCTCACAGCTCTTTGGTGAGATCACAGGTGTCATCTCATTGCTGCTGTGCTCTATAAAACACACACTTTTCAAACCATGGCATGTGCTGGACTGAGGTGTGCGCTTGGGAAAACCTCA